GAACCAACAATCATTGCATTTGAAAAATCTTTTTCTTACCTCTTTGAATTTCCTGCCTCTTAGTTTTACTCTTAAAATGGACATCTTATTTAAGCTATTGTGAATATAACAGTGCTTTTTATGCTTAATAATACTGTTTAACATGGTTGCATCTGAATTTTTCAGTTGTCCTCCCATTGTTAGTGTGAATTTCTTTTTTGGTGAGAAATTTTAAATATCCTTGTTCAACCATAAAATTTAAACTTTTGATTTATTGATTAGTTTTCATTTCTCTTACCATTAATATATGTCTATAACTATATACCTGTTGACATAAGATCCACTGAGAATGAAGAATGTTTATTAAAAATCCACTATATTTTAGAGTTCCTTTTTCATCTTGATTTCATTTCATGTATGTTGCCATTTTTCAGTAGATATTAGCTCCCAAAAATTGTTGTTGTTGTTAGTTGCGAAGTCATGTCCGACCCATCGCGACCCCATGGACAACGTTCCTTCAGGCCTTCCTGTCCTCTACCATCTTCTGGAGTCCCTTTAAGCTCACGCCTACTGCTTCGGTGACTCCATCCAGCCACCTCATTCTCTGTCGTCCCCTTCTTCTCTTGCCCTCAATCTTTCCCAGCATTAGGCTCTTCTCCAGTGAGTCCTTCCTTCTCATTAGGTGGCCAAAGTACTTGAGTTTCAACTTCAGGATCTGGCCTTCTAAAGAGCAGTCAGGATCTTGATCTCCTCTAGGACTATACATGAAAAAATACGTAATACTACAGGTCTGCTGTAGTCTCAGCCACCGCCCCCTTCCTTGGCAGGGTGAGGCTGCAGCCCGCAGCCTTTAGTCGGGGCTGCTGGCATGGTGGCAGGCGGGAGTCCTGGAGGAGCGCTGCTTTACTGGATAGAGGTAGTTGCAAGTCCTGCCCCAGCTATGGCGAGGAGAAGTGGCTGCATCTTTGCCCAGGGGACAAGGAGAAGGAACCGGAGGGGCGCAGTGGCTGGGCTGCTTTCTAGCCCTCTGGATTTGGGGTTTTCCTTTGATTGGGGGAGTATGGCCTGACCCTGGCTAAAATGCAAATCCCTCTCTAAGCAGGGATTGGGAAGTTGAAGGCCTCTGTCTTTGTGGCCATGAAGTTCTAAAAATCGATGGGCTGCTACTGGGCAGGAGCATCAAAATAGGGCAAAACAAGCAGAGTTCACCATGGTATATTGATTGCAAAGTTTTCCTATCCCTTCCTGGGCTATTAAAATCACATTGGCAAGGTCTGTACTGAACACCTGGCTGCAAACTACTCAACCAGATTTTAGCCTAGCCCCTTTCGCAAACCCAGGTCACATTCTGGAGGTAAGAGGATATAGTAACAGGAGAGAGCTGCAAAATTGATTTGTTATTTATTCTTGCCTTTAGCAGCAATAACTATGTTGTTTGACAACTTTGCTAGTAACCTGCAGGCTGTGGACTTTCCTTTCCCCCTTGGGGCAAGAATTCAGGAGTGCTAGATTTATTTTTCCTGCTAATTACAGTATACCTTGTTGGTTTTTTAAGGAGCTTATGAGAAAAAGATGTGTCTGAAAATTAAAGGATGTATGGATTGAGTTGTGAGACAGGGAAGGGAAGTCTGTGGACTTATGCACTTCCAGTTGCTGACAGGTGTGCCACTAATATTCTGACTGGACACTTGCATGGTCTCAGGGCCCAAAGATTATCTTCATTCTTCATAGGGTGATATTGTGGATTAACTATCTAGACCCATACCAGTCGGGCTTCAGGCCGGGGCACAGCACGGAAACGGCATTGGTCGCGTTGGTTAATGATCTCTGGAGGGCCCGGGACAGGGGATATTCCTCTGTCCTTGTTCTTTTGGACCTCTCAGCGGCTTTTGATACCGTAGACCACGATATCATGCTGCGACGTCTCGGTGGGTTAGGAGTGGGAGGC